CACTGCCCCCTCCCGGGTCGGGTCGGCGCCCGCAGAGCGCGAGGGCCCCGGGCTCGCGGGAGTAGCGGGAAGTTCCCGGTCTGGGGCGCTCGGCGCGCGGGGCGGGGCCGAGCCCCTGAGCGCCGCTGGGGTCGAGTTCTGGGGCGGGAGTTTCCCCACCGCCGTGGGGAAGGAGACCTAGAGGGGAGCAAGGGCCTTAAAGAGGGGGTAAGGGACCTTGCTGAGCTTTAGGGGCTCTGGAGCAGCAGGCTCTTTGGGAGGCGATGAGCGCGCGGGCGCGGACGTGGGAATGAGAGGAGGGGAGAGGGCGGGCTCAGAGACCCCACGGGGCGGCTGGCTTTCCAGACAGGCGGGGAGAAGCCGCGGGAGCCCGCTAAGGAGCCTCTCCCAGGAGAGAGAGAACCCTCTAGGGTGTCTCCGTCCAGACGGTCCCCTTCTCCATCTCTCCAGCCCCTCCTCCCTCCCCTCCTCGCCTATTCCCCCCTCCCCTCCTCCTTCCTGTCTTCCCCTCTTTCTCTCTTCCGTCCCGTTGGTCCCCTTAACTCCCTTCTTTCCACCCCTCCTCCTCCTTCTAATCAGTCATAATAGTCTATAACACCATTGCATTTCTTCTCTGAAAAATAGCTAATTTTTATTTTCCCTCTCAACCTGGGGTCTATTTTTACTTGTCATTAGCACCAGCTCCTTTGAAAGTTTAGAGCTAGATGCAGTGGATGCCGGTGGGAGTCTGCTGAAGACAGTATTTTAGGAAACGCGCCATCTGGGAATAGCAGTTTTTGAAGTAGGTGCTTTCCCCGCTACAGTGTTGGTGACACATTTTTCAGAGTAGTTGAAATAAATGGGTAGGTTTATACTTTGTAATAAATTTTCAAATTACACCATTTAATTAACCGTGATAGTGTACCTTTTTTTAACTACAGCTGGAGACGTGTATTCTTTCAATATTAGTTTCAAAGGCTTTAAGTGATTGGTTCCAATCCTTTTAAGGTCATAGGTATTTATTTCTCAAAAATATATACTTTTATAGTTCTCAAAAGGGAGAAAGAAGAATATGTCCTCCAAGAAACATTTGGCAACGTCTGGCGATATTTTTGGTTAGCATGACCCATGACAGGGAGGCATTACTGGCATCTAGTGGGTAAAAGCCAGAAATCCTGTTAAATAAAATATTCAGGACAGCCACTGGAATGATCCAGGCCAGAGGGAGCCAAAGTTGAGAAAACCTGTCTCAGTGAAATGTCAGATGACTCTGTGTCCTGAAGTTCATCCGTAAATCACAGGCTCAGAATCCTTGATTTAAGCTGTTTTACTTCTGCTTGTCCAAATTACCAGTTACTGAATTCAGAGCCACCGTAATGATTGGTCTGACTTCAGTTAGGTACCACACCCTTGGTTACTACACAGAATCTTTACATCTACATAATGCAAAGGTAGAAGATATGATCATATAAAGGCAAAATAATAATAGATTCAGCCTCTCCTCCAATGCAGCCTGCTGGGAAAATTGGTCTAAAAGACTTTCTCAAGCTTGGAGATGGGTGGCTAGGGAGACGTTCATGACAATCATGGTTACCACCACTTGAGTCTTTGCTGTGTGTTATTACACTAAGATTTATTACTACTGTAAGACAAAAAGGGAAAATCAAATTCTTAAATTTCTATTAAGGTTCAAGCAATAGGAATTATTTGTGAAAAGCCTTGTGTGCTATATACTTAGACTCAAATTTCTAAGCTAAATGAATGAATATAGGTAAATACTGATCTGTTATCTCATTTGTAAAAACAGCTTGACTTTTAATGGTGCCTTAGTTTATGACTTTCACAGGATGATTATATAAGAATTCATGTTTAACACAAAGTTTCAGGATCGTCTAATCTTGTTTCAGTGCATACTTTTACAGATGAAGAGACAGGCTCAGAATCTTTCTAGGATCTCATCCAAGACAGAGGGCTGGAGTCCATGGATCTGGAGTTCTGTCTTCACCCCACTGTTAATTATCTTCCCAAACTAGAAAAGTTTCTGAATTACTCTTTGAGATCTTGCATGTATACTTTATAAGCAGAATGTATCATAACATCTCTAAAAACCTTACTTTCCATTTGCTCCTTCAAAGGATCTTTAAATTACTTCCCAGCCAGAATTTCCCACCTAGCAGATGCCACTTAGACCTCCTATTCCAAGTCTGAGCTTCCAGTGTATTTGGATAGCAGTCCTATTGAGTCATAAGATGAGATCATGGATGCAAAAGTATGTAGAACACTGTAGGATATTTATTTTGTTTTTTTTTGTTTTGTTTTGTTTTTATTTTTCTCCGGTACCGGGAACCGAACTCACGACCTTGCGCTTGCCAGGCAGGCGCTTTTGCCGCTGAGCTAAATCCCCAGCCCCCACTGTAGGATATTTATGACAACACTTTTTGTTAGCCACCCAACACTAATTCTGTATTCCGTCTTCCCCACCAGGCACTCCTCTAGCCTCCTGTCTCGGTTACTTTTTCTCTCGTTGCTGAGACAAAATATCCAATGTCCAAATTTAAGGAAGGAAAGGTTTATTTAGCTTACAGTTTGTGGAGATTTCAGTCCATACTGGGCAGGCTCCAAGGCAGAGTTGCACATGGCAGAGGGCAACATTCATGGCAGTGGAAGATGCCAAAAGCAGCAAGAGCAAAGGGAGGAGTGGCGGCAAACAATCTCTTTCCCTCCGTTACATTGTATTCAAACTACCCGCCCCAGGGCAGGTGTAGCACTCACATGCATAATTCCAACATTGGACAATGAATCAGTCATAAATTCTAGTAGCTTGCTCCTTGAGTGCAGGAGGCTTTTGGGGGACATTCAGACACAAACTATAACACCTCCCTTAAAGTTAGTAGTGGATACTTGATCCCTTTCTAGGCCATAGAATCACTTACAGGATGTCTGGAGAAGACCTTATTCACTGATCAAATAAGGAAACATGAAGGAATAGTTGTCTTGCCGTCCTGGCTGTCTTTGCACACATTCTTAAAGGATGAGATGTTGGGAACTGTGGCAGCCATCTTGTAATCATGAGAGGGAAGGATGTCACAGAGACATAATCCAGCACCATAGCAAGGTAGAGGTATTCACCTTCTTTTGAATTTTTTTTAAAAAGTAAATTCTAGATTGTTATTATGGTTTAAGTAACTGTGAGTTGAATTTTCTTCTAGTAGCTGAAAGCTTTCTTAATTGATAAAGCACCATACAGATAAACCATATGCTTAATAACAAGAAGTACATATTAGTCAAGATGGGATCTGAGAGTTTGGTGATAGTAGGTAGATATTCAATAACTGAATGTGAACAGATGGCTTACCTGAATAGATCAGTATCACTGTGATTAATATCCTTATTCTATTGCAGCCTACAAAATAAGTATTTAATTTTAAACAAATAGAGTATGATATGTAAAATTACACATCAGGAATGTGATAGTGAATAATAGCAACCGTGGAACTAACCGCTTCTGACCACTGGGGAGAAGTCAGTAAAGAATTTGTTTAATTCACAATAGCCAAATGCTATTTTTTGGTGATACAATGCCATTTTCTACTGTCTGTCCTACAGAAGTGTTAAACACTAAAATCTCCAGTTTCCAGGCTCCGCTGAAGTCTGAGTAGCCATGTGACAGTTCTGACCAATGAGTGCTGGTCCCATCTTACCCACTTCCTATTCTTATCAGCCCAGAAAACAGCTGTGATAACATCTGTCTTTCCACTGGCGATAAGAGGCAGGAAGACAAAAGTCAACACACTAAGAATGAGGTAATAAAACTGGTGAAAAGAGTTGAGATCCTCCAAATCTTCATTAGGCTGCTATATTATCCTCGGACCTCTAGGAGTGAGACCAATAGCCCTTGTCTATTTAAGTCACTGTCATCCATGTTAGACTTCACACTGACTCGTCTTGCAGTCAAAGAGCCAGCAGCAGAGCAAAATGGGTTAGATACAGTACACAGTGATGGACCCTCCTTATTTTGTGGCAAGAGAAAAAGGAACAGGTGTGAAAATAGTTTATGAAATATATCTGCCTTGAGTGTTAAGCTTTGAACAATTCAGAAAGACAGAAGTTCTCAGCATCATAAAATGGCCTGATCCTGCTAACTACACATCCCACTATGTAGTTTCCCGCTAACTACACATCAGCCAGGGAGACAAGCAGGAGGGAAGAAGGTACCAGTGAGCGCTATTGGACAGTGAAAGAGAGATTGTAATAGGGCCAGGGTGGAGAGATTTCCTTAACTGCTCCTGGCTATGGAGCTCATTGGTTCTTCATCCATGAGAAAATACTTGTGTATCATTCGTTCCTCAACAGATGCCAGGAAATATCCAAAAATTGCTTCAACCAGCTGCAAAACTACAAGCAGTTTATAGTACAACAGCAGAGAGCAATGTTTAAAAAGAAAGTTAGAGATCATGCTATTTTGCCATTCCCTCCTTTTCTTTATTGCTAAATTACAATTTCCCTTCACAAAACTCTTCTTAAAGTTAATTGATTGGATACTGCTATGGCATTTGACTGCACTGTGTTCATCATATACACAAGAAAAACAATCTCAGGACAAGAGACCTCAAAGGTTTCCTGGTTCCCATTCCAACTAATTTCTGAGTAAGATGGTGTATTGTTTGAGAATGCTAATTCTCCTATTTGTATACATATATTTACCATAGTTAGTCTAACATCCCGTTAAATTGGGGTTGCCTATTCTTTTCCATAAATTTGCTTTCATGTGTTTGATAGATCCAAGATGCCCCTGACCCAGTAGAAGTTGGATTTGTTTGGTTAGGTACAATTTCTAACCACAGCAATTTGTATGACTATAGTCTCCAGGAACTCTCTGGAAATAAGGCATATGTAGTCTGTGACCTATTCCCAGTTGTGCTGTTAACATTATTCATTTAAAATTTGCAAATTACTTTTGAAACATAAATTGCCATATATTTTCTATGTATTATTCTTTTATATATTAAAGTAGCATACACATTTTAAATCAATAATTTATTCTTAAGAAGAAAAAATGAAGTGTTAAATCACATTTAACATAGCAAATGCTTCACAATAAGCCATCAAAATGGAAAATGACAATACACATTTTTTTGCTACATGACCTGGTACGCATTTTAAAGCAGTGCATAATCATGTTTAATATTGAGTCGTGCTTATACTACTTTTAAATTGGTTTCCTTTTTCTTCCAGTTTTAA